CGGGGCCGACTGCTGCCGCCTGCCCGCGGGGAAGTTTCCCCTCATAACTTTTTCCCTGAGGGTGGGCCTGGATTATCTTTCAGGCGTGATTCTTTGTGCAATAAAATCATATGTGCCAGAAGGAGGATAAAAGAGATCCATCCTGGTTGCAGGTCTTCTAAGCTTGCCTTTATTTTTCTTTGCCAGGTGACTTTAAAAAAGATCGGTTACAGCCTGCTCAGCCTAGCCCAAGGTATTCTTGCTTCTGATTTCAGACTTAGGTTTCACTGAAGAAAAAATGAATGTAGATTGTGCTAGTGCTGTTTATAGTTAATGCCTTGTGATGCTTCCTGCTGGACTGGCCTGTTCTGTTTTAAGAATTAGTCCAACTGTAATCTGAAATGATGCTTGAGTCTGAAAAAGTGAATAGATTTTTAAGTACATTTGTTATCCCTCTACCAGTGGGGGAATATAGAATTTGAAAGCTTACTACTGCCATCAGTTACAGCATTAGTTCCAACTGTCAGAACTCTCCCAACTGTGCTAGTGTCTCATAAAAAAAGATTTTTTTTTTTTCTTCAAAAGCCATCACAATTGCAAAGATAAGTACTCATCAACCAGAAAGCAACAACCAAATTAGGAGCCTTGCAGCATAGGTGATGCTGTCCTGTGAGTTTGCAGCATGTTGAAGGCTGGCAGCCAGGCAACTTAATAAAGCCCTCTCTCTTGGGGCAGGTTTTACATGAATTGTGGTAACAGACACAGGAGCTATGTGCAAGACAAGGGGGGGTCTGAACATAATTGGTGTGCTTTTGTAGGCTATTTCAATGAGAAAAATTATGGTGGACATGGCTAAATAACGTTTAGCTCTCTGCTGGGAACTGAACTGTTATTACTGAGCTATTTTCTATCTTTTTTTAGCAGTGTTTCCTATCAAGTATGAACTGATTACTAGAGGGTAGGAGATTTTACAGTCCCTTGTCTCCTGTTTGGGTAAAAGCACCAGATGTTGTTGACCTTGAATGAGACAATCTTTGTTCCTATTTTAAACAGGCATGAGGTGAATGGTCACAACGAGGACGGAAATGAGCTACAGACAACACCAGAGTTCAGAGCACATGTTGCAAAGAAGCTGGGGGCAATGCTAGACAGGTATTGACATGCAGTACTAAAATAGTTTGTTCTGTGGGTCAACTATACTGATGTTTTTGTGTGCTAAAACCAGGAAATTCAAGATTGGCATACAACCCAGATATGGAGAAGTTGTTTCTTTTCTTGTCTCCTTCATTCCTGTATTTAAAGCAAACTTCCAGTATTCTGTGAACTACCCTGGCCCATGTGCTGTGCTCCGCTGGTAAAGACTCACTGTGCAGCACTGCCTGTCTCCATTTGCCTCTGTGGTGAATGGGTTGTGGGAGGAAGAAGTAAAATCTGGGTGTCTTATCACCTTCATCATTTAAAGGCTGTCATGAGAAACTTTCATTTATTCTTATGACCTAAACCAGTACCTGATTCAACATTGTACTAGTCGTATGTCTCTGGCTGGGCTGCCACTTTCTCTATTTATTGTGTAAATATGGCCCTAGAGAACTAGAAATCCTGGTGTTTAGAGTTGGCTTTAGAAACTCTGCATGTCATTCTTGTGGCATATGGTGCTAAGGAAGAAGGCATGGTCTGCTCTGAAAGTAAGTAGGTGAGACAGATTCACTAAGAAAAAAGTTAAGGAGTCTTGTTTCCTAGAAATCCAAACTTTATCTCAGTTTCCAAAAACTGTCTAAGATCTGACTGGACTTTTCCATTTAGTTTCATCACCATCTTGAAAGACTCATCAGGACCTTCACAAACTTGTGTGCAACAGTCTGACTCTGCAGATGATGGTGAGTTCCAGTCACAGTCATTGTGGCTGTTTTGTGCCCTTGTGGACTTCTTAGTGAGATTGCTGTTGATTACTTTCACTTTCCTTTTATAGCATGGCTAAAATTCCCCTTTCCACGTTTTAGGTTTTCGCCTCTTCTCTTCCTCTGTCCCAGGAGATTGTGGAAATTCAGAGCTTTGCCCTGCAGTGAGGAGAAGACGGCCGTCTAGCTCCAGGTGAGGTGTTGTCACCTGCTTTGCTTCTGAAGCACTATTGCATCCCACATTTCTGAGTGAGCTGGGAATCTCGCAAGGGAATGAGAAGCTGAAGAGCTTGGGAAACGTGTATTTATGACTCCTGTATTTGACTTAGAGCAGATCTTGTTACCTGTTCTTAATTGCCAGGGAACATGAAATGTTTGTGGGAGATGTTCTTTCCCCTCCTAGTATGCTTAAAGAACACCTCAGCTTTCAAACTGGGTAAATGCAAACTGTAGGTAGTGGAGTCCAAGAGGTACTGGGTGCTCCCATTGTAGATTGCTCTGCTGTCTGTGCTTTGGGTGACTTCAAAGCAAAAGTGTAACATAACTTTCTTTCCTTTGATTACCTTCCTAGTGACACGGACAGTGACCAAGCATGGCAAAGGTACCAGGAGGCTGCTGTGTCAGCCACAGACATTCTGAAGCAAAGTGCTTTTCCTGCCCTATCCCAGGATGCCAATCAGAATCGGAGTCAGGGTTATGTAGAGCACGGGCAGAAAAAAAAGAAGAAAAAGAAAATTAGGGGAGAGAACAATGTTAATGAGAAAAGAATAGACCCAGCAGAGGGTGACCAGATCTGCAAAGATTTGCCACAGTTCGACAGCAAGCATACAGAGGACTCAGTGTTGCCAGGAGCTGTGAAGAAGAAAAAGAAGAAGAAAAAAAGAGAATGAAGGTGTTACTCTGCAAATGGCAGGTGATTATGATGGATGAAGGATGCTGAAAAAAACCCCTAAGAACAGGAGTTGCTGCAGATGAGGGAAATTAATTGGCAAAGCATCTGTTCTAAAAGCTCAGTGGCCTGAAAGTCTACTTAAGTGACTTCCTATGTTGTTGTCCCTTGGGGAAGAGAACATTGTTCTCCTAGCACAGCAGTTATCTGTGCTGCTGCTTATGCAGACCTGGCATAAAAGGATTAAGTATGACATAGTCATAGCTGCATCCCTCCTGGTCTGTTCCTTCACATCATGAAAGCAAATCTTGTGTCCTGTAGAAAGTGTATGATGGATTGAATTTGGTTTACGTGGCAACAGGTGATCAACTCCTTTTTCTCTTTGCCTTCTCCTGGACGTGTGCTAAGAATAGCTCCAGCTTGTGAGGGACTCATTTATCAACAGTATTCTGTCAGATATCAAGGCCGCCCCCTTTTTCTTTTTTTTCCTCTGTGATCATCATAACAGTCTGTTGTTGAAACTTGCCAAGTTACTAATCCCTCTAATCTGTGCCTCTCCAGGGCCCCTGCGTATAAACAGGGTGTCCAGTGAGTTTATTTCAGGGTTGTTATAAACAGGTAGTTGTCTGGTGAAATTTCTCTTCATGACATTTGTTATTAAATTCTACTATGCTGTTCTAGTTCTTTAATTTAGTAGGTTTTGTACAACAGTGGCTTTCTTGCTGTATTCAGATGGCTCCCCCAGCAGGAAGAAAGGTGGCTGAAGGTGGCTCTTCAGTTGCTTCTTCAGTTGCTTCATGATCAGTGCTATGAGATTGCTACAGGAAGGACTTAAGCCTAATTTAAAAGCCACTGTGTTTCAGTCCTTATTTTGGTTGACTATGATTTTTATTTCTCTGAAATAGTGGGTTTTGGTAGTTTTCAGTATGGCTTTTATACTTCAGTTCTAGTATTTTGGGAAATGACCTTTTACTGAATAAATACTGTTTTCTGTTTTTAAGGTTGTTGGATTTCAGTAGCTCTTAAATTATTAGCCCTATTCAGGAGACCAGAAGGCCAGGTTAGACAAACCAAAATAGTGAACTTCTGCTCTTTGGGCATGGGAAAATCAGAGATGTTTTCTTTCCTGCTGTAAGTTTTTTAATCAAGAAAACACAGTTGGAATCCAGAAATGGGAAAGTACAGTAAAAAACTGGTTTGTAATCTAGCTGAATGCGCCAGCAGAAGTTACTTGTCTTATGGGCGCTTCAAACTGCAGTGTACTGAAGCTACCACTTGGGCTTTCAAGTGTGTAATTGTTTAAATGTTACCTTTTGACTTCTTTGATGGTTATTTTTATGTTAATTGGTAATAATATGTTTGCAACTGATGCACATGGGAGATTAGGAAACAATTCTAGGATAAATCTAGTAACCAGAGAATCTAGTTACTGAAATTAGTCTCTGATGGTTGATGGTATCTAGAGGATGCTCTTATCAATAAAAACTAACACATCTGCAACTTTGAAATTTCCAGATATGATAACAGAAGGGTTCACTGTTGGGCTTTTTTCTTTTTAATTCCCCCTTGTATCTTAACCTTTTAAGAGTCTTGAGAATGTTCTGGTCTCAAGGATTTTTATCCCTTTCACAGCTGAAAGAATAGCTCTGTTTCAGTCACAAAGACAAAAACATGTTAACTGGGGCTTTTTTCATTTCTAGCTAGTGACATATCAGTGACGTGAACATTGAGAGTAAATGGCGAAGAGAGGAATAATTAGAAGAGGAATTATGTAAGTAGCTCCTTAGGGCTAAACCCCTTTACTTAGTGCAAGTAGGACTCTTTACACCCCAGGGTAATTATTTGCATTTCAAGAACTACAGAATCTACCCTTCTGGAAGCCATGTTCTGGAAAATGAATCCAAGGTGACATCTTTGTAGAGAACAGCTGAAGGAGCTACTGCTGTTGTGGAGCATGATAACCTCCCAGGTGTCGTGCAGGGTTGGGACTGGTTGAGGCCATCTCCTGGCTCATTCAGCAAGACCCATGGAATGAGAATCCTCATGATTAATACAGAGAACTGGAACCTCCTTGCTGCTGTTAAACTTTAATTTCTGCATTTAAAACAAAGCAGAGCTATATCAAAAGTAACCAAGCTGTTTCCACTAAGATAGCATGATTTTTAGATCAGGTCATTTTTAACTGAGAATGTTTGGCTTTTTGTAGTTAATTAAAAGATTTGTAGCTTGGAGTCAGTGATCCCATACTGATAGGTTTGTGCCAAGTCATTCCTGAGTCTGTTTCTTGGTGACATTCATTGCAAAGTCAGGAACCAGGTTCTCTCACTCTTTCCTCCAAGATACTATTACTTCTTGTAGTTCCCATTGGTGTTTCCTTACCGCAAAGGAGGAGAGCCTTCTAAAGGTGGTATCCTTCTTTGGCAGCTCAACTTTGCTCTTTCCTGAGTGGCTTAGTCTGGTGTTGTCAGGTTTGTACAGGCCCAGCTAGGTCAAAGCTGAGCAGAATGGAAGTCTCATCCATGCCCTGGCATTTTTGCCATGTTGTGTTCAGATCCCTATCCTGATGGGACTCATTGTTGGGCAGCCTCAAAAGGACATCTGGTTGTTCTAGGCTGGCTTGCGGGGTGTGAGTTTGCTTGGGTTTGGGGAACAGGCAGTGGATTTTAGCAGTGCCAGCCTCATCTTTCTGTAGCTTCTGTCTTGAGCCTGAAACATCTCTCAGGGAGGCAGCTGAGTAGGGGGTTTGTAGGAGGCAGTGGTGGCTGGAGGTGGGCTGGGTGCAGCAGCCTGGCCTGCCTGGGGAAGGCAGTGCTGCCAGTGGTGGCACACGCAGTTGGAGTTGCACCTGACAGGTTGGTCATGGCAGTCACCCTTGAGCTAGTTGTCTTGATCACTGAGTGGAGGATGCCATCTGCGTGGAGATGAAGGTCTCAATGACGTTGTGATTGGATGGCAGCAGCTGACTGTGGCTGTTGGTGGAGTCAGAGCTTTGGTACAGCACCAGGCTGCTGGAGGACACTGTCAAAGGCACAGGCAGAAATTAAGTACAGATTTTCACTGCAGACACTCACACTTCCAGCATGACTGAACTTCCCTGGAATAAGGGCAGAACTCCTTTTGCTATTTTGTGTGCCATTATGTACCTAGTTTTAAGTCCACAGCTAGTCTGAAAACCCTGAGGGTGACAATCTTCAGAGAGTTCAGTTTTGAGGATTTTAGTCAATTGTTAATGTCTTAGTTCCCCTAAAACTGGGAAGCTCCAACTGGAGTCTCTTCATGAGGGAGTCTTGCGGTTTTTTTTTTCAACCCTGAAAACTGCCAGTAGGACTGTATATATATGAACAATGATTTTTTGTCAATATTTTTAACGTTATTTTCCTATCTGGATTCTGAAGGGTCCCATCTCCACAGTCTGGCTTTATATAGACTGTGCTCTGAATCTTTTTCCTTGCACCAGATTTTCAACACCCCCCAGACACTTGTAGAGCACTCATAGAGAATTGTGAGCCCCAGTTACCATTTTTCTAACTGGTTTTTACAGTGTTGGCAAGAGAAATTTAAAGTAACAGTGGCTGGTGCTCTTACCAGCAGGGCTTGAGGTGAGGCGGGGGCCTGGCTGGAGGTGCTGGATGGTGGTGTCCTGGTCCTGTAGGTGTATCGTTGGTGCCTGCGACACTGGCGTGTGCATCCCAGACTCCGTGTGGGTCTCTGAGTCAGATGTGAATGCCTAGAGGAAAGACAGTTATCAGTGCCTGGTTTCTATCCCTTCTATCGGACACAGGAGAAGAGTGATCAGGTGCTATTTTCAAGGAGATTAAATACTCCTTGATGATGCAGTGAAGAGCTTGCTCTGATGCCTTCAGTATTGCAGCTGGTTCCAGCAAGGTGAGGAGATAAGAAAGATTATCCTGCTGGGATGGTATAGACCACATACCCAAAAAAATCTTAGACGAGCAAAGAGCTACCTGCAGCCTGGTGCAGTTGAAGGTGGGGGAAACAAAGGCATGTGCTAAAGGCTGTTACCTGTTTAGTTGGTGTCAGGTTAGTCAGGGTGCTGAGATTGGCTGTTTCTGTTATCACCATGGTTTGTGGTAAGAGGCCTGTATGTGTGTATTGAGCCACTTCAGACTTGGGGCCATAGAGAGCTGTGCATGAAAGAAAACAAGATTATGTGGATGCTGGAGCTTTGCTTGAGACTGGTTTGTCTGAGTTGTTCTCTTGCATGTGGACCTGCTGTCTGTCTCTGAAACCATGGGATTGGAGGGACAGGGAGATGAACACAATAAAAAAAAAAAATGAAAAAAAAAAAATCATAATTACAGCAACGGTAATAGAAGGGGAAAATAGAGTGCTGTAAGCCCAAGGACCCAGCAAATGCTCCAGAACTGAGTCTTTGGGGTTTTTGTTTGCTTGAGCAAATGAGTTCATGCTCTTACCGTGAGGACTCTGTATCTGGGCCATGGTAGCCATGAAGGGGCTCTGGTTGATGTGGCTCTGGACTTGCTGCATCAGGGGCTGCTGGTAGGAGGGGTGCAGCTGCTGGGAGAACTGTACAGGCTGCAGGGTAGTGAGGCTGCTCCCCATGCTGTTTATTACAGGCACACTCTGGGGCTGGGTTGAGGCCAGGCCTGAAAAACAAGGACTGATGATAGTAGTGTCACATACTGTGGGAGGAGTGTGGCTGCTCTGCAGTAGGGGTGTCTGAAATAGTCACTGTAGCAAGCCTCTTGTCACAGATTGCAGATGCTGCTTTTAAACTGTTCTGTTTGTTATATGTGGTTAAGAATAGATTTCATGCCTGTGAAAAGAAGTGAGTGTGCAAAGTGCACTGTGCGGACAGGTACCATAAAACCACCTCTGATTTCTAGTGTTTTTTTTTTTCTGTGTACATCTTTATGTACCACTATGTATCACTTCCTAGTGTAGTGGTAACCTGATAGGGAGTTCCACTAGGGAGGCATTGCTCAAGAGTAAATGGTGTCATTTCAGTGTCCAGTTCAT